TCCCGAAAATCGTCTTTGATTGACTGAGGGACGCCATTTTTTCCATGATTTAAATAAAGAACGAYCTTGTCCATTTCACCATCTAGCATTTATAGAAAAGCAAGCAATTGATTAGACCAATAAACAGAAATACAAGTAAATAGATGGAAAAGATAAAAAGAAATATTATTGTATAACGTGTAAAATACATAATATAGATACCAAATTCAAAYAATAAGCTTGGCTTTTACTCTTTTTACATCAAGACGAAAACATCAGTAAGTTTGAATGTCTAATTTACTTGTACGGGCTTAGATAATGAGTTGCTTTATTAGAAAGAGGATCCACCATTTAAACGCTAATTCGGGATGTCTTTTGATAACCTTACCAGTTTTATTAGGGTCTAAAATGGCTTCCTTTTTCTTATCGTTGATGAGCTTCAGTCCTTGCTTGGTTARAGTAAGCACAATAACTGSCTTTGGCGACTCAAAACAGACCTAGAGAAACGATCATTTTATCAGAGCTCCTGGAGGAATAAAAGAGCGCGCACGTACTTTGACCCAGGCGCACGGGCATAAGTAAGACCGGACGGAACTGCTGGGGAAGTAAAAGGAAGTTTTTAAACGAGTGTACTTCCTATACCCGATTGTCTTTTGAACTCGATGAAGCAAGYTTTTTCACCCTTCCATAAAATGCAAGCTATACAAGCACTGCAAAATTGGCATGTTCTGCGCTCTATTTAGGTACTCCAATGTACACTCATTGATCAAAAAGAGCCAGCATGATTTGAGTGAGAATTTTTTATATAATTTCCTTTATTTGACAATGAAAATAAAAGGAAACTTACAGTGCAATGGCTGAAATCCGTGCATGGAAGTCGGAGGGATAGAGCAGAGGAATCTGTAAAGGTATTACAATTTTCAAAGTTTCAGTATTGCATTAACATGGAAGTCTTTTTTAAGTGTATTGTCACATATATACTGTACCTTTAAACTCGATTTCGAGGAACAGTTTTTCAGCATAAATCTAGTAAATGAAATAAGAGGAATCAGCGATTTTATGCRTCTTTTAAAGGGAAACAAAATACTTGATAAATTATTATATTAAATGAAAGATGGAGTATGTAATTATGATTGATTTGAACCCAAGTTAATGAGTACCAGTTGTAGTAGCTCTACCTTAATAGGGGCTGAGGCCTTAGCACTGAGATGACCAATCACCACATCACTRACATGAAGAACGATATATATAGCTTTCTTTTTTAGTGGTACTTTTAGCGGTCCTTTATTTKGCTTTGTTGCTACATGTCTTGGGCTGGTATTAATAGTGTCTACTGCTGCAGTGTCAGCATCTCTTGAACTGTTATTTGCAGTAGCTTTGGGTTTATTTGTTTCTTTTGGTGAAGCGCTAGGTAGGTTGAGTTTACTTGCATTGAGGACTTTCCAAGTTCCTGGTCTGCTATCATTATAGGATGTGGTATGCTGCAAAATTATTTAAATAACAAATATTTTTTGGATTACTGAAGAGTCACTAGAAGGTTAATTATTAACCCGAAGATGAAATGTTAAGTTCGAAAGTGTTCGACAACATTAAATGTTAAACTTCGAACTTAACAGTTCATCTTAAAARAACACCAAAACATTCAAGTATCTAATTAACAATTAAAAGTACAGCTGCGACATCAAATAGTAGGCATTTTTCGATTAGAATCCTTATCRACATATCCTATCGTAGGAAACCAAGAGGACAGAGCAGTAATGCGATGGTTCTGTTAAATCTATGGTTTGAATTAAAAAAATAACCAACCATTTTAGAGTGACTGGCTGCAGCTGATATAGGCACATCCATTTCATCCTGGTGATCGATATCCATTGCTTCTTCAAGGTCAACATTTCTATGGGTAGAGATTCTATAATGGCCAACAGGAGGAACAAATGCTGGATCTCCACCAAACTCATGATGTGTAGTTTCAAACCCATTACTTCTTCTACCTAAAATGGATTTTAACATGTTAATAAGAGAAAAATGTAYGCTCAAAGGGACACAAGATTTCTTCAGTGTAGACCTAACCCTCACTTCAAGTCAAGTCAAATCTTCATTGCACTATTCAGTTTGATATTYATGTTTGTTTTTTACAATTAAGTTAACATTTATATTTTTATTGCATTCTTTGCCTTTTTAACTAAACAATGGTAGTTATATTTAAGAAACAACAGTAAAGAAAAAAAAAAGAAACAAGCAAGCAAACAATGCCATTGTATTTTTATAAAACAAAAGTTCTCAAGACAACAGAAAGCCTCAAGTMACTTATACATTGCTGAGTTTTTGCAATGACAACATTTGAATATCAAGTCAACTACAGTAGTGCTAACTAACTAAAATATAGTGTGGGCTTTGTCTGAATGTAATTAAATTTGCATCCATCCTTGCAGAGCAAAACTTATATATTACATAATAAAACTTGCTTGTACCTGAATTAGCAAAACCAAAGGTACTCAAACTACTGCTGCTACTAGAAGAACTTGCTGAATTAAATCCATTGGATAACTGACTATTCATCTGCCATAAAGATGATTGATGCTTGTCCTTGTGGCTTCTATCTTCACGGCTTCCAAGTTCCAGATTTCTGTTTGATCTTGAAGATGATATTGAACCATTGATGACTTTAACTTTAGATACTGAAGGAGATCTGTGTGTTCGGTAGGGATCCATAGCATATTACAAACAAGTGCAGCTATATGCACAAATGCATCACAACTGTGTGGAGGCAAAAAGAAAGACTGTTACTATCAACTTGTTACTATCAACAATTATAAGGACAACTAAAAGTAAAAGATTTTGATTTTAAATTGTCTGTCATAGCAAGTTTCAAGTTATTTTTCTGTAATTCATTTAGAGTGGGAATTACTGAAGCATCTGTAATTAAGGGGTGCCAGTGAAACAAATTTTAAAAAAAATTCTGCTTAAGATGAATCAACACGATTTGAACCGAGACAAAAGTTAATACATAGCTGCTTCATGGAATTTTACAGTGAATACTGAATATCAATCATTTTCAATTGATGAACAATTTAAATTGCACTCTTTGATTACTATAATAACTGACTGCTAAAAAAATATTTCATATTGAAAATTCACATGAATGTTTGACATTTAAATTGTATTAAATCTGTTAAATACATGTATATGTACATCTAAATCGTAAAACAATTACAAAAATAAAATATTAAATAAGAATAAAATATAGTTTGCAATATGATAAAAAATATGTTGTCACCAATATGGAAATGACATTCATTATTTCCTTTTTGTCAGTAATCTCATATGTAAATCCACAGATAAACTCATTCCCCTATACAATTATATTCTAAAAATKATTATTCTGGCAACAAGCTCTCTATTGCTCAAATTTAGCTTCAGAAATAGATGAGTGGTTAAAAACATTGTTGTTTTTTTCACAAATTTTATACTTAAAAAAGGAGGATAAGTTTGGATAACGAAAATTGATTTTATTACAACTTAAAATACATTTTAGTGACAGAAATAAGCCAACAGCAATTRCAGCTAAAATTGAGCTTAACTTCGGATTTTGCACTGTCACCAATATGCCATTATGAAGACACTTATATCATCAACCTCTAAACATCAAAGAATATKTGTGTAGAAGAAAGATAAGTAGGTTCTCAAATACAGGAACCTCTTACGTTACAAAAGAAATTTAACGATACCACTGCAAAATAATAATTTCTTTGTGTTACATTTACGTGTGGCTTTTTCATCATGACACTTCGACGCGATAAAATTTGTTCCTTTTACGCTTRAAAATKTCATTAAACTATCGAAATAACTTGAATAGGTAATGAAGAATGTAATTCTAAGCTCTTACCAAAAATCCTGCGTAAAAAACGAGCCATTTTGGAGGAATTTCCAATGGTGTTTTCATGTCACTTCTTCGCTGTTGTTGTTTACATCCAACACGCATGCACTCCAGTAGAAAAACCGCGGACCATTTATCTTATTAACCTGCTGGCGCACCTCGCTGCCATATGCATCAAGCTGTCAAAATGGAGGAAAACGTCGAAGATGACGAGCTTTTCGAAGTTGAATGCTTCCTCAATACCARAAAAATGGTTAGAGATAATACACAGACTACTTATTTGATGTCTTATGAATTGATGTTTTATTTTTCGTGCTTTTTTTCAACGTAGTTTTGACTCTTTGACGTTTGTAATTTATGCCATATTGTCTTTCATGAGAATCTCTCAACCAATTTAAGTAGCGACGTCAGTAGAGCTCGTGTCTATAACCAAGTGTTGCTATTTTAGAACGGAACTCAAACTAGGTGTTAGGTTTTCTATGAAGGAACTAAACTCTCATTGAGCATTTTATTGATAAGATTTTACATCCAGAGACAATTWAAAAAAAAGTTACATAAACAATGATCAAAGCTCTTTAAAGCTTTTCAATTCTTCTCATATTTAGTTTTTTAGTACAATTTACTAGTATGTTATGTTATTTCATCGTAAGGTTTWGCTCAGATTATGATTATTATATGCAGCTGGCCTATTATAAAAGAGTAAAAGTGGTCATGCATAACGATCAAAATAATTCATAAGTCACACCTGTTCCAGCTTTTTGTACATACAGCATGTCCATTGGCTGTTAATGAAAAGAGTTTTTATGCTTTATAGTAGTTGCATTAGCTTGAAATTACATGTATTTTGTGATCAAGTTTACTACAAGTCATCTGTTAGAAGAACAAGGATTTTCATCCTTTAAAAGATGAGAGATGTTTCGACTGTCCAACATTATATGAAGACCATCAAAGATGTTCTAGAAAACACCATGTAACATTTCTTTGTGGATATGTGATGCCATCATTTATCCTGATTTTGTTACAGAATGACCCAACTTACTTTGCCATCCAAGCTATTTGTTTACTAGTTTGATTGTTTAAAACTTTGATACAGTAAGATAGGMTTCACTTCACCATACACAATATTGAATATATATGAAGTCTTAATTCTTTCTTCCAGTCTGATGGCATTAGGTATTACAAGGTTCGATGGAAAGGCTACCCACCGGAGGAAGACAGCTGGGAACCAGAGGGAAATGTCAAAGAATGCACCGAAGCTCTTGATGCATTCTGGTCCAAACGTCAAAAAAAGAAAAAGGTATTTTAATATTTCTGCATTTAAATCCAATTTTATAATCATTTTTATTTTAAGTTTTTTTTGTGATGCCTTGAGTGCTTATCCAAGCACTCTCGACTAAAAACTTTTGACATGATAGTATCTGTTATCAGTTTTTTGTACTGTAAGACTATAATGAGTGATATACAAGTTTAGAAATCTGTAAGCCATAGAACTAAACCTTGGAGTCTTTGTCTCTTTTACACCCTTGTTTTTATTGGGAAATAATGGGATGTAGGAAGCCAGAGAAGAGGTTTTACAATGTAGACCACATTTAGGTTTATTTTAGTTGTAATACTGTAGAGTGGATGCACTTTATCAATGCAAAAAGTATTACTAATTAGAACTAAACAGTATTGATGAAATAGTTCAAAACAATGGAACTAGCATAGTTAAGCTATTTAAATTTCACCTCTTAATGCAAATTCTATGTTGTAATTCTAATTTGTCTGAAATCATCAGAAACGCCAAAATAAGACTATGAATGTCAACCAAAAAGAGCCAAAGCCTTCATCAAGAAATTCATCAATATCAGTTGTTTTACCTGAAAAACCACTTGGACTTACTAGACAGGCCACAAAAGAAATACTCAAAGCGCGYCATCAATACAAACAGTCTGAACTGCCATCGTCTTCCCAGATGAATGTCATGACCTCCTCAGAAGACATGAGCAGTGGAGCCGATAGTTGTGACATCATCACTGTTAACTCACCACCAGACTCTGAGAGGAACACAGATGTTGAGACAATTGARATCATGTCTCAAGGATCAGCTTCAGATATAGATCAAGGACAACAAATGCCTGGTGAAAATGTTCCAGTAATTTCATTATTAAGTGACTCAGAAAGTGACCATGCAAAAGAAGGGTGTGAAACGCCAGACATTCAGTCTYCAGAATTTTCAAAGAAAGCATTTAATTTAARTTCTTTGGGCAATATCAAAGACAATGAAATTCTTGAAAGTAATGAATGTGGGCATATTACAGAAGGTACTGGTTTTCAAGAAARTCTAACACCAGAAATCACCAAAAACAAGTTTGTAGGGTATACTAAAGAAGGTTTTGAAATCCCAGAGCTCCCGCCTATTTCTGAGAATGCTTATGAATATTCGAAAGAAGGCTTTGAAATTCCTAAGGAATATTTCATTGCAAGTACATGTAGCTTTAGTAGTTCAACACAAAGACCCGAGTGTCTTGGAAATTTGCAAACGGCAATTACTGCAGAAGAAGGACTCAAAATTCACCCAAAATGCGATGAAARCTTGCAGACAGAACATGAATCTGGTGAAATTACCAAGAGTGCGTGCTTTGAGAATGATGGTGTTGAAATTCCACAATTAAAGATTCCGTGTACATCCTCAACTCCAGAAATTCCCCAAGAAACTGATGATATTAGTATCGACGATACCAACGAACCTGGTATACAATCTCCAACGTTTGAACGYCAGACATTCACCCCAAACGGTTCAAAGTTGTTAKCAGAAGACGAAACCACTCCCCAAAGCAAACCACTGAAGCACACTGAGACGCCAAAAKGTGAGAATGTTGAAGAATCGTCAGTGGATCCAAGCTCATGTGAGAGTACWCCAAGGTCAAAGAAACGATTTAATCTTTCTTTGCAGAAGAAAAATAGAAAGAAAAGATATGAGTATCTCGAGGCTAAATCGATATCACCAGATATACAGGAGAGCGAAGTAGATAGTGACAAAGATCAGACCAAACTCCAGTTTAAACTTGAAGATCTTAGAGAACAAATGGCTGAGCTAGAAAAAACGGACGACTCTCAGACCGAGAAGTCGATGTCAGTTGTTGATATGACTGGAGAACCACAGAGCATAAGGACTGGTAAAGATTCGGCAAAACTTGAAGAGCTTAAAGGTATTATGTTAAAATTGGCAAATGAACAAGAAAAAGAAGCAGCAGTTACTTCAGATGATCGAAGTGGGTCATCATCTYCAATTTCAGCCACGCAATKTCTTAATCCCGAACCTCCTACTCTGYCTTCCAGCGYAGACATTACACAATCGYCTCCATCTTCMGAATCATTAATGGATTCTGGAGGTGAGGAAGTCGTCACTCAATCCTTTCAATCCCCWGAAAGCACAGTAYTTTTGACTGAAAGTGTCGAGAGTTCTCAAGTGGACACAACTATTACAAAAGATACAATGATATCGGAAGTTATTGTCTCGGGCACCGAAAAGCCGTCATCAGAAAACTCTGGGGTTGATGAACAGGAAAATTTGGGCACAATCATTGAGCAAAATWRCGAGATTATGGATATGGAAGTTAACGAAAAGTTTTTATCTGAAGGTACTACTGAGTCATCTGAACAAATTGCTGAAGGACTTTCTCAAACGAATACAGTTATTCACCAAAATATCGAAAGTACAGTTACTATGGATGTGGATGTGGATGATCAGGTTGAAAATTCTCAAAAGGGCTTTGATCCGGGAAAAGGCTTTCAAGTGAACACACTCGTTGAGCAAAATAATGAGACTATTGAAGTGGAAGTTGTCGTTTCAGAGACCGAAGAGCCAACATCTACACCTGAAACTTCTAAGGAAAGTGTTCAGCCAAAAGAAATCTCTCAATTGGTTGCAGTTGAGCCGAAAGAAATCTCTCAATTAGTTGCAGTTGAGCCGAAAGAAATCTCTCAATTGGATACAGTTGTTCAGCGAGATATTAAGAATGTGGATTTAGAAGGCTCAGAGGCCGAAGTTCTATTATCTGCAAATACACTTGAAGCTTGTCAAGAGGTTGGCGAGGACGATTTGAAGGAGAAAACTGAAGAAAATATCATGCAGATCGATGAATCAAATGAAACAATTATAAATGAAAATTTCACGCCTTTCCAGCAGTTAGACACTTCCTTAAGTAAACCAAGATGTGACGAACAAACAGATGATATTCTTAGTCAASCAAACACTAACGAGACAACCAAACTACAGGAAAAAATCAATGTGATTCCCATGGACTCRATAGTCGTCAAACAGGACGCTCTCAAAGATRTYCAAGCTGAGTTATTACYTCCAGAACCTGGATTAGATGCTGACATTACTGATGTGAATAAGACAGATGATCACAAAATAAARAGTGGCGCCTTTGAAGCTGTTGACAGATCAGAACAGGTGAGCAAAGCYAGTCTCTCACATGGAAAAATACGAGCTTTACAAAAACTGAAGAGYTTTGCTGCAAAACTTAAACCGCCTTCCTTCTTAAGCCGTTCAAACTCGGTCGCCTCAAACCTATCTGTATCCAGTGATGATGGCAAGTCGGATTTGGGAACAACAGTAAATATAAAAGATTGCGAGAAAATGGACGACATAAATGACCAAAACATTGCGGTTGAAAGTTCTGGTGCTCAAACAGACGATGATACAGATGAGGTGAAAACGTATAGAGAAGGAAATGAMAATTTTATTAGAATGGAAGCTAATTTTGAGAATGACACAAACGGAAGTTTTGTTTTTGTACCAAATACGAATTTTTCAAATGATAKTAGTCCAGGAAGTGAACACAAGCAAAAAGAGACAAATGAAGTCRRTCCTTTAGAAAATGGTGGCAACGCGGCAGATAGTTCAAATAATGAAGACATTTGTGACTCAATAATCATTTTGTTGCCAYCAGAAAGTGAAACGACAGGCGAAGAATTTGGGAAAATGGAAATCGAGGGAATGCAACTTGAAGAAAGTGGCAAAGTTGGTTCTGATAGTGTTTCTGATAATCCAACCCAGGAGACTAAGGACTTAGAAAGTCATTTAGAGAAAGTAACTTTCAATAAAGCAATTGAAAGTACTACCTTAGAGACAACTACAGTCTCGAATAACTTMCATRTACCTGAAATGYCCCAATCGSCAAACAATGAATCTCGGCAAAATACTTCGCAAATAACCAGTGACGGTTTGGGTACAAATRCAGAGAAAAAGACAACTAAAAAGAAGAAAAAGATAATGAAAAAGTCTATGCCAAGAAAGGACAAAGATAACGAYGTTAACGATGTGGYTAAAGAGARAAATGAGCATTCAGATATTWATGCAACAGAAATCATTCTCAACGACGAAGGCACTTTAGATTCTTTGGATATCTCAGAGGTCCYTTKTCCACAAGATTCCTCAATCAATGAGCTRAATAATAACAGCGAATTAAAAAAGAACAAGYTMAATCAGAATAAGAAACGAATAAAACCATCCTCTTCTGTCGCACCCGAAAAAAAGAAAAGAAAGAGCTTAATTGACAACAATAAACAAAAGAAGATAAAAGCATCTCAGAAACGAACCACTTTCAACAAGCAGCTACCGGAAATGAAAAAATCTGCTCAGGAAAATTCAAACGACAAGAGTACAAATTCTTTTATAAGCGCTGACATCGACGCCCCTCCTGACTTGGACAATGGTGATTTGATTGGTAAAATTCTCGACGAGGGAGATATGGTAGATAGTGATACCAGATTCACCAAGTCCTCCAAAGATAAGAAAGTAACGGACGTAAGAATATGTTCTTTTAACGTGATCTGTTTTTTTTTGGCTGTCTGGTCACTCGCAATCTAATGATTTCATTCAATTTTAGGCTGTTAAAGATGGAGGGACAGCTGATGAAGAAGATGAATTAGATTTCGATCTTGACGAGTTTCCAATCGAAAATCTCTTAGATGACGTATGTATTGTAGCGTACATTGTAKTAATTCGAAGTGTAGATAACATTTATCGCAAAGAGCTATCCCGTTTCTTTATAAAGTTTATGTGGTCGGGTGAGGAATTTGCCCGTACTTAGTCTCTTTTAACCTTCAAACATTTGCTCAAGAATATCKAGTTAAATATAATGGTTTCATGGGTCTCTTGATGTGACGTTTATAGCCCCCTCCGCTCCTAACACTTTGGTTCTATCTGTACTTGGGTTTCCTGTGTTACCAGCGGAGGATGGTTTTGGACGATTTGTAAGAATTAAAACAAATAACTATAGTGGCATTCTTTATGATTTCCAGGAAATTAGCGAACTGAAGGATATACCATCTCCTCCTGTGACTCCAATAGAAGTAACATATGGTAAGGAAGAACAACCACACTCCAATAKAGTGGTTTTCATAAACCCGTGAAACAAAGTGTACTAATTAGAGTGTAATAGATCGTAATAGTCGCGTAGAGACAATAAAAACAAAAGAGCCAAAGTGTAATAGCGATAAATACGCTAAAGTGTGTTTCACGGGTTATGAAAACCACTGTAAGCGTCATCCCACGTGAATATTTAAATAGACTTTAAATGAACTCAAGAGGCATTCAGGGTAGTTTAAAGACCACCTTTAATTTCTTAATAAATAATAAATGAGATAAGAAGATTAACGTCTATCATGAAGTGGTTTTGAAAGGTGCCAGATAATCACTTACATACAATTATGACATTTGCTACGAATACTACAATTTCGAGTTTTCGTTTGCTCTATGTTAGCCTCAAAACCAAGTAACACATTCTTTTGTTTCATTGATAGCCCGAGAAACTGCATGGATTTTGAAAAGAAAGACAATAGAATTTGATTTGAAATCTCACAATTTTATTCTCACAATTAAGAATATTTTGCGCACAAATGAGGCTAACACAAAGCATTGGAGAATTCGAAACTGGATTATTTCGCCCTAATAAAGTAATTTTAAAATCCCAAACTCATGCTCATCTCTGTCTTGATAATGATGATTTTTAAAGGTTGAAAATCTCTCCTTTTTTTTCTATTTTTTTTTTTTTTTCATTTTAAACTCATAACATTTCGTACCAGGTGATCTAAAACAGTTCATACGAGATGGTGACGAAATGAACGTCCGAGCAGCTCTCAAGGGTGGTACAGAACTCAACGTATTGGACGGCGCATCAGGGATGACGTTATTGATGCTGGCATCAGCCGCTTGTCAAGACAACATCGTAGAGCTGTTGCTAAGGAGACAAGCTGACGTCAACGCCGTACAGAAAAATGGCATGACRGCGCTGATGCACGCTTGCGAACAGGCAAGTGTTTTTACTAGACTACAAAAACGTTTTTGTTGTGTCATAACAAAATTGAAATGTTTAAAAACGATGTCATTACATGTATATTTTGTGTTAGTAGGGCTGCCCAGAGACGGCGCATCTTCTATTGATGTGTGGCGCTGACATCAACAAACAGCAGATTGCGGGCGAAACAGCATTGATGAAGGTGACAATGTTTAACGATCATTTGGTGTGTTTCATACATATGAACAAATCTATTGCTGTATAATTTGTTTATTTTTTTACCTTTTTATTGCTTTGCCTTTATTTTCTCTTCTTGTCTTTCAGGCATGTAAAAAAGGCTATAATGACGTAGTCGAAGTGCTYCTGAAGCATGGTGCTTCAACGAAAGTAAAAACAAAGGCAGGACAAACAGCTTCTCAATTAGCTTTACCTAGTCCATGCGAAGAGATTCAAGTACTACTACAAGAACACGAGAAAAGGTCAGGCTATTCGACCTTGTAAACCACCACCCCACCCCCCTGCACTCTCTCCCTATATTTTGACACGCTACATAAGGTCATAAGTCGCCAAGATGGGATGCTACACCTTACAATATTCACACATGCAGTTATTTTGTTTCTATTAATACGACGCACATACATTTTATGGTATATTCAGAATATTTAATATTTCTTAGAACTGATCTAAAAGACTCATCTCTATTTTTCTGTACACAGACTGTCTAAAGCAGTAGAGGAAGCCATTACGACGTGTCTGGGTGACTCTGTAATGATTTGTAAACCACCTATACTCGCTTATCAATGTGTAGCACCACGTGAAAGTAACCAGTTTACCTTTCCCTTCCAATATACATCGACACAACTATCTAGTGTCAAGAAAGGTGAGTTATTCACAAATTGTTCTCAGTTCGGCCTACAAAATCTTACTTTATTTTCATATTTCAAACGTCGTATTTCTCAAGTGCCAACACAATGTAAATCACTGCTTCATTGCATGTTTTCTGGACCTTTGCGACCATCATCTTCAACATTCATTYGGACCTTCAACAATGTAAACAGTGAAATATTGATGATGTTTTTATCTTGCTKGTTTGTTTGTTTTCATTAGATCTTCAGATGCTTCCCTTCCTCCCTTTCTTTCCTATTCGTATTTTCATCGTCTCATTTGCGTTATCTTTTAACCAATGATGTTTCTATTTGCAGATATTATGTTATTTTGTATCAAAGCTAATTTCACTGACGATGCTGTGTCATTACTCTTTGGTGAAGATAATGGAGTCAGGGGTGTATTACTGAATGCTAAATCACAGATACCTCTTCTCCGAGTAAGTAGAGCATATTTCTTTYTTGTTTTACGYATTTCWTWATGTTTCGAGGTTGATYSCTCGATTTTTCAGAGGAWTTTGTCTCTCTTGACGTGATTATTACTTTTTTTCCCAGGGAATAAGATCTATTTTCTCCATYGAACCAAAGAAAGGCAATAACACAGTCACTATTCAAACGCACAAGTCTTCCTCAACCTCTAAAGTTATAATTTGTATTTATGCAATTCAGGCTAGTTAGCAGTTTAGTCAATTAAATAGCATTATATTATAGCAAATTAAAGTAAAAATCTTGATCATTTACGCTAAATAGGATAATAATATGATAATTGATCTCGCGCGTGCTGGCTCAAGAGCATGCCTTATTTCACCGTTTAACGCGCGCTCTCAAAGCGAAGGTATTTTTCTATATGATACAAGAAATAAGGGATAGGCTGCCTGCAATAGTTATCCACGTGAAATAGTTAATGTTCTTAAAAAATGTAATAATTATAACTTAATAAAATGGTGAATTTGTGCAACATTTCTCAGGCATTGTTTTTTWTACTTCTAATGTTAGTTGGTCGGCTCAATGTGCTGGTCGGCTATGCTGGGACTGTCGTCTATACTATATGTCTATACCAATGACAATTGTCGATTTATAATAAAGYAGCTTTTAGACTTATTGCTGTCCCCACTATTTAATAGTATGTTTCCGTAACGTTTTTGTTACGCATTGGAAATTTCGAAAGACGCTTTTTCGTGCAGATAAGATTCAAATTGGAAATAAATAGCTATTTGTAGTGTCATTAATTACAAAGTATTTACAAAAGCGTCTCCGTTATGCCGCATTTTTATCGTTAATCATTACAAGCGTGTTTCATAGTCTTCACGATCTGATGTCTGTAGTTCTAATATTGGAGGTGTATCGAGCACGATGCCGCCGTTTTGATACCCGTTTCTTTTTGAAACTGCTGCTTGCTTATTGTTGGAGGGATACAATGGACTTGTGTTCAACTGCCAAATATTAATTTCTTGTTGGTCGGAAGAGTTTGCTTCACAAATGCCGGCATTTAATGAAAYATCGGGGTTTCTCTGTTCCTTGACAACAGTATCGGGGATTTTGCCATTTGATTKCCGATTTAATGCATCCTTAGGATTGATACTGCCGTTGCAGATCTCAGTTCCTTTAGCAACACCATTGGGTTTCTTACTAGTCTCCATTACCTCCTCTACGATGTTTTGAAAAGAARCAGATTTCATTTTCTTTGAATCGTCCTTAACGCCGTCTGTGGTAGACATGGTGGATAAAGAAGAATTGATGTTTTCTCGTTGTGATTTGAGTTTTGCTGCAGTCGTCTTAAATTTAGTGTCCGGTTTTACGTTCACTTGACTAAAGCTCCTTTGAAGRGAATGATTTGCYACCAAAGCTTTCACATATTCCGCTGTGTTTTTCTCAGGGAATTTCAGAATGATATAAACCTTTGGAGCAAACATACAGACGAGAAACCCAAAAGAGCTTATTATGATGATTGCAGACGAGAAGGTAGTCAAGAAGTTTCCTTCTACGCTGTTTTGCAATGTTGCATAGCATATCGAACATAGAAGCTGCATATACATTGCGAAGGCAATATARCGTGCTTCACTGAAGTTTGCTGGAAGATTCCTGGCCTTGAAGGCATAGTAAGCACAGAAGACGGACAGACCCAACTGGTAGGCATACAATGATCCTTGAAGAGCGACGCCAAGAGTTTCCTTATGACCCTTGCAGCCTAAATGCTTCGATTTTAATCGCTCTATTGTAACGTGAACATAAGGTGGGTCTAGTACGTGCCATAAGGTCACCAGTACTATTGCTATTCCGTTCAAGAGGAACAGAATTACAAATTGCGCGTTYTTACCATTACAGAGCTGACTTATTCGTGATGAGACGAATGTGAATTCAAACACTCGAACCAAACGGTTCGTCTTGACGACCAGAATGGATAAGCATAGCGTGTAGTAGAGGGCGTGTAGTGGATTGTTGAAATAACACATCAAGGGTGTTGGACGAGCCAGGAGGATGACTCCAGTTACTATACCAATAACTATACCAAACAGAAATAAGACGCTCATTTCTCGATTAGAAGATTTGACAATTGGAGTATTTCGGTACTTAAAACCGATRRCAAGGACAAAAAGAACTAAAATGAACTCTATMCCCGCAACCACAAGAAGAGCAATGGCYTGAGAATCACCAAATGAGACATTCACTTCWGGCAAATCAATACATTCAGTTCGATCTTGGTCAGGCATTTTGTCTATAGGACACTCGGTACAGTTCGAAGAGCTGTAAAATTGACTTATAAAACCAATAGGACAGCGGATACACTTCCAGCAGCATGCCACTGTCGCTGTCTGCATGTAACCCGGCGGGCATGGTTTAATGCATACCGATTCTGGAACTTCTTTAGAACCRTTGTTCCAATACAATGAATTGTTGTTTATGTTTAATCGCCTTGYCTTTCCTCGATCCCAGTTGCCGATTATCCTCAACAAAGGTGCAACATCACCATCATGTAAATTAACAATATCATAAGCAGCAGAGCTTATAGAGTCTCCATTTTTATCAAATTCGACTTTGCCAGTTATTCCTTCAAAAGTAACATTTCCCATGAACTTTAAAATGTCTTTTGTATCAATAAATGGTTCGGTCTTTGGGCAGTCACTTCTTGAACTTTCCTGACAGCGGTATATCGCATCTATGGCATGCGCAATAACGTACACTGCGTCTATGACGTAAGCAAGGTACGCAGTATACATATCTTCATATCGTTGCTTTGTGATGTGGAAGTTTTCAAAGTTGCATGTCAATGCGTTTTTACATTTTTGCTGAAGCATCCAGTACTCTTTCCACCAAGTRTGGTTCTGAACTCTTGCTGATGAATAGTTCAAGCTAGTTAAATGGCGAAAATATCCTTCTAAGTTATAATTTCGAAGCTTTGTCCCCACAAAACCGCCAATTATTTGCATATATTTGTCCTTAAACAGAGGTGTTGCCTCGGACCAACCCTCGGGCGCAAGCCATGTGCGTCCGGTAATTCCCTGTCTGTATGCTTCTTCTATGAAGTGAAGCGAAGTAGTTGGGCCCCCCCATAAGACTATCACTTTTACATTCGCYGCTAGTTTGATTTTTGAGACGATTGTTTTCATCTTTTGTTGGTAACCAGAYGGTGGAAAGTAAGAAATTTGAGAAATGCAAAACGTGCCTCTTTCCAATGCCTCATTTTCGAGGGCCATRAGTCCATATCTCCCATACGATGTGTCCACACCAACAACGTATACATATTTCCATTTAAAATAGTCAAYAACATCGGCAAGAGCCTTGGCCTGTTGTCCGTCTGGTGGAACTGGCCGGAAAAACGTTTTGAAATAAGGMAGRCTTAGTTCCTCACTAGTGGCAAACGGGCTGACTTGAGGAATATCATCAATGTGCAACATACTGGCGACAACGACAGAGCTACTGGAGTCTCCAGTGCCGATCACAGCTGCAATTGGTTTCCGAAGAACCCCGAAGTACTTTTGAAAGCTTCCAGCTGTGTCGTTTACTTCGTACCTAAGTTTGGTAGCTTTATTTCTAGTGACGAAGTCAAAAGCCAAGCTGTTTGCCAAGGCAGGACTATCACAACTATCCATGATGTCATAGCCTAAAGTCACATTGGGTAAGAGGGATTTATCTTTGTTTATTGTTTCGATGGCATATAGCAMCGCTTCAACATAAGCAAGACCTTGAGGCTTCAAATCTCCACACGAGTCATCGGAGTTTTTATGTCGAACTGTTAACAGAGCACCTATAATCACTTTGCCGTCTTTGTAAATTCCTTCCGCRTTGACAGGTGTCGATATGAGAAGTGAGAGCAACACGAAGCACCATTTTACACTTCGAAGTAATGTATCCATATCTTCGCAACGATGGTTTAAACTCTTTCCCCACAGGAACTGATTAGATCTYGGTTGAACGGCATTTCACTGYTCTACGAACAAGGATCCCTGTCAATCTCGTTAGAAATAATGACTTCGGGCCAATCCCCATTCAACATGATATAACTAGGATATTATATACACGCTTCATAATTACTAGCTCTTGAACGATTTGACCACAACGGCAGGTCACTTATTGAYATGCAAAGATATGATTTACCCGTAGCAGCATGAAATCTGTATTTTGATGGAACCATGGTGCTGCTCCATTGTTCGTACCAAGGACACTTCAAATGCGTGACAATTAGGTATAATACATATATACGAGCGACCACAATGTCATCTATTTTACCAAGCTCAAACCCGACCACCAATAGAAAACCGATAAAATTTTAATGTTCAGCYTTGGTCGGTCTTTGGAAACCACTTTATTGTCAAAAGCAATTTGTTTAGAGGGATATTTAATAGTGAATATATTTGATTTTATTTGAGTTAACAGACTGGGTGTCTAGTTCTTAATTCCGATATTTATGAATATCACATTTTAGCGGTAACTTTTGATATCATTTCATTTAATTTGTTCGGTTAATTAATTGTCCTTACTCAAAATATTTCTTTCAATCCTTTCAGTATGTATTCATTTATCCACTATTGATTCAAAGAATACCAAAACTTTTTCTGCAGAATTCATTCTTTCGGTTTAGACAAAGGAAAACAAAGTTTATATTGATGAGGGAAAATTTTTAATCTCTCATTTTCTTTCCACTTATTGACAAGTTGTCTAGTTTAATTCCTTTCAATCGTACGCAGGTTTGTTTTACTGCTAGTACCTGAGGCTGGATCGGTCCTGGGAGTTTTTCACAAAAAGAAACAAAAAGTTAAAAAGGTGAACGTTTTCGCTATAAAATAAGATTTTTTAAAAGCGTTTTATTTTGTGCAGGTGCATAACATTTAGTAGACCCCGTACATATGGATTTGGTTGGGTTATTCTCTAAACTTTAAACACAGGATGCTGAGAAAATTGTACTAGAGACACAGTTTCAAAACCAAGAAAAATTTTAAGGCTTTCTGGTATATCTACCCTTAATGAATGTCACAAGAAATTAAAATGAAATAAAGATTGAGTTTATGAAATGTTTGTTTAGAAGTGTCAACACTTGAAGTCTTTCCCGGAAGATTGTCTCGGCYCCTCAAATAAGTATAAAATAAGACACGATGAGCATAAACAATTTTCCTAGCTTAATTCTCAAGAAATATCTAAGTAACAATTTTCACTATTTCCCAAATCCAATTGTCAGAGCCAATATGCGGAGAAAAGTTCTAAAGGTTTCTTATTATCAAAAAAGGGTAGAACTGTTTTCCTARCTACTTTGTCGAATAAAGGTTCTTTGTTATTGCCGGGAAAAATCCAATTACAAATCATATTTAATAGTGGAMRAATTCCATSGCTTTCTGAAACTATTCGAGAACGGTTTTCATTTGTTTAATCCTTGGTGAGGTTTTTCACTTAATTATTAAGTCTTCTTATGGTATACCGCTAAGTTTAGATAATTCAGTAAACAAAAATATATCAATTATTGGTAAACCCAAGAAAATTACAATCTTCAACAATAAAAAAGTCATTTACTTTGGGCTCGTCAACTGCCGCCATCATGTGTTTGGTGAGACGAAGTGATGGCGGCACTTTGAAAAATAAAAACTTTATCTTAACACCAAATAGTTTGGCCAAAATTGAGATGTGTATAGAGATTTCTTCATTGTTATTGAATTGATTGTATTTGGAGGATCCGTACTACAAGATTAACACAAGATTTTATTTGCGATGGCTTTATGAGAAGCTAATTCTTGCCAAGAACATTTTCTATATGTGAAAATCCGCCATTTTGTTCAAACGTTTTCTTTGAAATGCAAACTGAAATGAAAACGAAATAAAGATGCTTAACAGACCCCTTTCAAACCAAAATAGAGCGTCCATCTTGGAAGGCTGTTCGTTCGCTGTTTTTTCTCACTAATTTTTTTTGTGCTCAACTTCCTGGCCTGCGCGCATGCCGATTGCGATTGGCTTCGCAGCATACGATAATGGAGAAACGTCTGACCTATTTTAAAATCTTCAGACTCCATGCTTTTCTATAATGGTCACAATATTAATCTCAATCCTTGAAGAACTGTACAAGCAAGTAGGGACTCAGAGATTCTTAGTTGCCCACCCCTCCCCTCCCCTCCTTTCTATATTATATCTTTATTTCAAAATTTTCATATAAGGCTTTACTGAATCGTACTGCATTTTCTCGCTTAGATTGTAATAAAATCAAGCAYATCTCTCACTTGTTGCTGTTGATGTCTTCAACGAACCCCTGGCGAGTTTTCAGGGTACTYGTCAAGTTTATACAATTTGTGGCGAGAATTTAATATTAMAACTGCGAAAGAACGATCAAAATGGAGGGAAGGGTTAGTCACATTAGAGAAACATTCATATGCTCCTYGTGATTGTGATAATGAGATGGTTATGTACTGGGAACAACGCTCTTAAATGAACGACCGACTATTATATCAATGTTCCGACGAACGCCACTAGTTGTTATGTACTGCGAGACAGCTGTATCTTGCGTAAGATAAAATCCCTTAAAAAAAGCTTTTTTGATTCAAAGTAAGTCAGCACCATTGCCTACTGAAAACTAGCAGTTTGCAGTCAAAACATTGTCTTATTAAATTCAACCAAGGATTTCAATAGAATATAAGAAATAAACTGATTTTTTCGCTCAAAATTCCAACGTTTTATGWTCAACCATTTTCTTCTATGATCAATGTCAATTCACCAATTTGACTCCTAGCGATTCTTATTTACTTTAGGCAGACATTGATGATAAACAACAGCTTAACGTTATAGAACTATTTAATTGAACATTGATCATGTTTGGCATTTTACATATTTACTTCWATAGTCCCTGTGGCGTGAAAATTACAGTGGCACTGCAGGTAGTAGAAGCGGTCTGCTTAGTACTCGCTATTGGATATTTATAGAAAAACCCTGGGCACGGTGAGGGGGTTGTTGGGTACGGTATGATACAGTCAACTCTCTCCTAAGCGACCCACTCGGAATAAGAAAAAGGTGGTCGCATACGAGAGTTTTTTACAGAGTTTATATGGGAAACAATTATAATTACGGGAAATTTAAAAGTTGTCGTTTACGAGTGGTCGTTCAAAGAGAGTCAATCATGAAGTCGAAAATTTACAAAAATGTTCGCCCTAAAAAAATGATACCGGAATCTTATGGATGGTCGTCGTGGCAACAAAAGATTTTTAACCCCAATTTAAGAATTTTACCATGGCTTCCATCGTGACCTTTTTATTGATGTATTTTAATCAAGATATAAATATAAAYGTGCTAACGTCTAAAATATTTTGAATTGCGTGATGCACTCATTAATAAGTTCGAATGACGTACAATGGCTGCCAGTCTTCAGTATATTAATGAGAAAACGATCCACTCGAGCGATCTTATCGATGCCTGTTGTACATGTAACTCAACGCGATTCTTATTGTTCTCAATGTCAGCTGACAAATCAATCCAAAGAATTCACTTTTCGTGACAAAAAAAGGAAACACAATCCTTTACACTGAGGAGCTGGATATCGAGTCAAAATTGCCTTCAAATCACTCAAATAGTGATAGATAWACATATATTTTTCAATTGAAAAGTTGGAGATTTATACGTGGAGGTTTATACGTCGAYTATACAAGTTATTCTTCATAACATAAAGATTATTGCTGTACCTTGTACTTTAGCATGACTAGACAAATACTGCAGCAAAAGGTCAGTCGACCTTGCGTCGGACAAAAGAAATGAAAACAAACGCAAGCAGTTTCGAAAGTTCTTGTTTGAATTAATCATCATTGAACCTGAATGCGGAACTAAGTATTCTGGTGGTTCTTATGGAATTATTATAGACATTGAAATGCTTCTTGCTTGGTTAATAACTTATTTTGCTCTCCTACAAGTTGTCAACTGTGATTATGGTGAAAATCCATCTCTCGCACAGCGAAAATTTACCAAGACAGGCAATGTGACTCTCGCTGGAATCTTCCCAGTTCACGTCTTCGGCTGCGGAATTCAGAATTTCCGTTGCAAGTACGTAGCTCTCTCTCAAGCGATGGTCTATGCTATTGAACAAATCAACAAAGACTCTTCGRTACTACCGAACGTCACGCTGGGGTTTGAGATCTATGATTCTTGCTTGATCAACCGATATGYTATGGAAATAGCTTTGGAAATCTTAAACAGGAAGAAATTACCATTGTTGTATGGCAACGAGGGCTCTTGCCTTGCGCACACGCACGGCTTAGGTGAAGTTCCTGTTGTAATTGGTACAGGAAGTTCAGGAGGATCTATTCTTGTTTCTAACCTCCTTCAAGTGGAGAATATTCCACTCATCAGCTACGCAGCAACGAGCGACGAGCTTAGTCGGAAGAAGACGTACCCAACGTTCTTACGTACCGTCCCCCCTGATCGCTATCAATCTCAGGCAATGGCTGATTTAATAAGGCATTTTAATTGGACATAT